TCTGATTGGGCTTCTTCTATATATTAACTTTTAATAGCGTTCCTTAATTCTCGGGTACCTTTCTTAGCTTGACTCAGTTCCTCTTCTAGTTTTTTGTTTGTTTCCCCATTATTGAAGGAAACGCCTTCCAATTCTGAGACTCTTCCTTCTGCCTCACTCATTCTATTATTGAGACTTTCCATTGGATTTTAAATTTGTTAGTGTGTCCTTCATTTCTAATCATTTGGCTTGATTTTGTTTCAGAGTTACTATTTCCTGTGTGGATCCAAACAGTGGGTGGAGGAGTTTTGCTTTGTTTCTCTTTCTCTGTGTACATCTAAACTGCTTTTCCAACAGAAATAAATAAAACATGGAAAGGGGGAAGGAAAGAACAAAGAAAGGAAGGAAAAAAGGAAGGAAGGAAGGGAGGGAGGGAGGGAGGGAGAGAGAAAGAAAGAAAAAAGAAAGAAAGAAGGAAAGAAAGAAAGAAAATGAGAGAAAGGAAGAAGAAAAAGAAGGAAGGAAGGAAGCAGAAAGAGAACTCAGCACGATGGCTCAATTGGCTAATCCTCCCCTTGCAAGTGCTGAGATCCCATATGGGAGCTGCTCCACTTCCCATTCAGCTCCCTGCTAATGACCTGGGGAAGCAGTGGAGGATGGCTCAAGTCCTTGGAACCCAGCACCTGCATGGGAAAGCTGGAGGATGAGCCCAGGTCCTGGCTTCAGATCAAATCAACTTTGGTCATTGCAGTTATTTGGGGAGTGAACCAGGGGATGGGAGATCTTTCTGTCTCTCCTCCATAAATCTGCCTTTCCAATAAAAATAAATAAAATTCCAAAAATAAAAAAGTAAAGACAGCAAGCCTTGGGGGCTTAAGGGGTTAATCAACCACCTATGTTGTTGCCCATATAGAAGAGCAGGTTGCTGCACTTGCAGATCTCTCTCTCTCTCTGCTCAAGTGCTTGGGAAAGTAACAGAAGATGATTCAAATGCTTGGGCCCCTGCTCCCATGTGGGAGACCAGGATGGAGCTCCTGGCTCCTGCGTTTGGCCCAGGTTGGCCCTGGCCATTGCAACCACTTGGAAAGTGAACCAGTGGATAGAACACCTATTTCTCTCTTTCGTTTTCTCTGCCTCTCTGCCTTTCCAATAAATAAATCAGATCTTAAAAAAAAAAAAAAAGACAAGGACGGAGATAACCTTTTGAGTAACCTGCCTCTCTACCCCAGAACAGAGGCGGAAGAAGATCATCACATCCAAAAGGAGAATGACCTGTGCTTTGGCCGTCTCATCAAAATCTCCCTGATGCAGAGTAAATAAACCTGCTGGATTGGGGGGCAGCCCCACCTGCAGGTCTCTCCCCTGCACTTGGGCCTGGATTGTACATGCCAAGGATTCCAGGAAGGCAGGTGCCAAATGGGTGTTTCCAGCCGGCCGGTGGGCAGCTGTCCTCATGGTCGGATGACAGACCACGTTCTCTGAAAGCAGAAGATGAGGCCATTAAGGGCTCCAACCGTGGGCGGTGAGATGCTGCCTGGGAGGGAGGGAGGCCCACGCTGGAGGCCCCGGGCTCGCACTTAGCTGGGCAGCAGTTCCTCGGGGTTATTGATCCAAAGTACTCACCTCTGTCATCTCAGGAGCATAATGCAGTGCCTGAGTATTCATAGGGGGGAAAAAAAGACCTTTTCTTTGCCAGGCTATTTTCTGAAGTCAAAGAGCTCCTTTCAGGGTCTGTAATAGCAAGCCCCGGCCCACTTCACACCCTCAGCGAGAGAGCCTCGCTCCAATTTCCAGCCTGCTAGGATTGGCGCGTGCCCAGGAGGGGAGCTGCCACGTGGGGACCTCTTCAGATAAAACATGCTGTCAGCCTCAACAGGCATTTGGGTGGCAGGGATGGGGGTTGCGGGGGTGCACAGGACTGGCACATTATGGATGACACCTGAAACGCACAGGAAAGGACACTGACATATTTCATGCATTGATTTTCTTCCCCCTAGGATAATGTTTTCAATAGGATTTATAATAACACCCATAAGGCCCCCTGATATCTGAGATTGGGGGTGGGACTGTAAGGAAAATCTAATCTTTGCTTTGCGTGTTTGCTGTGGCACAGAAAGCAAGCTGCAGACTGGGACTGGCCTGGCTTCTCCTAGAATTGTTCTGGAAAAGGCAGACTCTTCCAGAAGCATGCTTGGTAACATGACAGCCTACGAGAAATGCCTTGCTCCGGTGTGTCAGCCAACTTAGGGGGATGTAGCTATTAAGAGCAAAATAAGTTATTGCAAAAATTTTCATTTGAGAGCTAGGGGTGGGGAGATAGAGAAAGGGAGAGAGGAAGAGAAAGCGACACAGCGGGGGAAGAAGCATGCTGTGCCCACCGTCTTACTCCCCTGGAAGGATGACAACAGCCCACCGGGGCTGGAACTAAGTGGAGACCTAGACGCCAATGCCCTGAGTCGTGGCCACTGCCTCCTCCAAGGATGTGCCTCGGAGGACACTGGGGGCAGGAGTGGGGACTCACGCCCAGGCAGTGTGGTGTATGTGAAATGTGAGCCTGCTGGAAGCATGATTGTAGCAGTGCAGACACACCTTCGTGCCAGTAAACATATGACATTCCAATTTTGAATATGAAAATGTTGGCTGTCCGATGTAGCTGGGCGTTTTGTTTTGGGAGTACAGTGTACATGCTGGTTAGGAACAGCACAGGAGGCCCCCGCTTTCCAGCTGGGTTAGCCCACTGAATCAACAGCTCTAGGTCTGGATAGAGCTAAGAGATGACCTTTACATGACCTTGAGCAGGAAAACTGCAGGACTCACATTCGTTTAGGGTTCCATTTCCACGGCATTCATATTTTGGTTTCAAAAATGAAATGCAATGGAGCCCGGCACAGTGGCCCAGTGGCTAAAGTCCTCGCCTTGAAAGCGTGGGGATCATATATGGGTGCCGGTTCTAATCCCACTTCCAGCTCCCTGCATGTGGCCTGGGAAAGCAGTCAAGGATGGCCCAAAGCCTAGGGATCCTGCACCCCTGAGGGAGATCTGGAAGAAGTTCCTGGCTCCTGGCTCAGCAAAATATTTTATAAGGAACAGGCAGTGAATGACTATTTGCGAAAGGGATGATGAATGAGTTATTACACAGTTGGCCAAAGTCTTGAGAGGCTAGTGGTATCCGGAGTCTGGGAGTGGCTCAGGACACTGGCCAGTCTGGCAGGTGGCAGGGTCCTGAGAGCCCAAGCGCCCAGCAGGCCATGACTGCATCAGGCCTCACACCTGGTCCCATGGCGAACCCTCAGAGTCGGCCGATTGCTGACTTGAGGCCACCATCAGGGAGCTGGTACAGGAGGTTGTTCCTGGAAGGACCGGGCAAGGGTCCTGTCCACTGTGATGATGCCAACCCAGAGGCGGGCAGGGCTGAGCGACCCATTGAGTCACGAGGGGCGGTGTAGCTTGCAGGTCTGTGAATGAGCCAACAAGACGCGGACCCGGCACCTCTATGTGGGGGAACCTTTGCTTTGTGTGTGTGAGGAGCTGAGAGGCCAATTTCATACAACACAACTGCTGTCAGCTCCTGGCTGGGAAGCACAGTCACCATTTTGGGGGTAATTTATAGGTTTTCGGTCAAGAGAATATTTTGTCCAGTAAAAACTCAAATCACCTTTTTATAAGATGCCATGATACACTTTATTTCCCAACGATCATAAGGAGGAAAGAATCACACAGCATCAAGGCGCCTGTTTCTACTTTATTTCCATCATCACAGGAAGTCAGAAGGAAAGAGGAAGACGGGGTCAGGTGGAGGTCAGCAGTGGAGTTGTGTGAACTGTGGCTGGCATAGCTGCGGGGCAGTGTGTCCTGTAGACACACGTCTACACACACACACCTTGCAAACGTAGGACACGTGTGAGGGTCTCTGTCATCGAAGGCATGGAGCGTTAGGATAATTAACAGGAGACAGTGAAACACAAATCAAACAACACGTTATAACTTAATTTACCATGTTTATCTTTTTTTTCCCTCTTATTTACAGATACTAAACATCGGTAGACCTGGAAACGGAAGAAACGTTTGCTTGATGTCTATGTCGTACATAGATACTGAGCGCAAAGACAATGATGGCTGTTTCATGGCAAACTTCCTTTCTGATGAAGACGTTCCCCTTAGTGGGCAGACAGTAGCACGGTCGCATGCGGGAAGCCACTGTGGTGAGTGTGACAGCATCCGTCGTCACACCTGATGGGGGCGGGGAGGCTGGAGTGCGCATGGACCACGGAGGCTGCAGGATCTCTAGGGGCTCATCAGTCCCCCAATTCCTCCGGGGCCTCCGACGGGCTATGGACTTAGCTGCTGACCAACGCTCACCCATGTGGGATGCTCAGCCACTTTTAGCAAGTCCTCATTTGGTGGCATTGCTGTCTAGTGAGCTGACACACCTGGGCTTTGACCTAGCTGGGAATCTGGAGAACATAGGGTCTGACCTGATGTAGGTGGGACCGGGAGGGGCCCCTCTGGCTATAGGAGGCTGCCCCCCGACACTTACATGGTGGAAGAGCATGGGGACTTGGTGTGACTGTGTGGCAGAGCAGGGTGGGGGAGAGGCGGGGGGAAGCTGGCCAGATGACCAGCCCTCCACAGATTTTGCTGAAAGGCATTTTTCACAAGAGCACAATATTTGCTTTTCTGGGGGAAAATAAAAAAAAAAAAAAAAAGAAGCCAAACTTCGGGCCCAGTGCGATAGCTTAGTGGCTAAAGTCCTCGCCATGCACGTGCCAGGATCTCATATGGTTGCCGGTTCTAATCCTGGCGGCCCTGCATCCCATCCAGCTCCCTGCTTGTGGCCTGGGAAAGCAGTCGAGGACGGTTCAAAGCCTTGGGACCCTGTACCCGCACGGGAGACCCAAAAGAGCTCCTGGCTCCTGGCTTTGGATCGGTACAGCACCGGCTGTTGCAGTCACTTGGGGAGTGAATCATCAGACGGAAGATCTTCCTCTCTGTCTCTCCTCCTCTCTGTATATTTGACTTTGCAATAAAAATAAATAAATCTTAAAAAAAAAAGAAGTCAACTTGATCATTTCAGTTTTCCACGCCAGAGAACCCAAAGGACCCAAGTTCACATGACTGCGAGTAAACATGGTGCCAGAACTCCTACTCCAGCTGCTCTGATTGCCCCAACCCTAGGGTCACCGAGCAGAGCGCAGTGAGGAAGGCTCTTTCAGAAGGCTGCTGGCTGTAGCACGGGCTCATGAAAACCCAAGAATGCCAATAGAAGCTGAGTGTCTGGTCGCCTACGGTTGTCTCCCCCTACAAGGTCAGAGGCTCTGGTGCACAGAGGTGACAGGGCTCTCTAGATCCTGGACATAGACTGTTCCAGAAGCTACCCATTTCCAGCTGCCAACTGAGTAGTGGAGGCTTGGGGTACGTGATAAACGTGAACCAAGGCAGCTAGACCCCAGTGACTGGGCTGTTAGGAGTCATGCTTTACTCAGAATAAAAGCAAAGAGGACAGCAGAATGTCCACTGCCTTTCTCAGAGCAGCCCAAGGTAGGTAAAGCTCATTTCTACTTTGCCACATCCCTGTTCCCCCCAGGTGGTGGGCTAGGCTTCAGTCCCCTACCTGCGATCCCAGGGAGGCAGAAAAACACACTTTCCAGGGCCAAGTTCCTGGCTGGTAGCTGCATTTGACCTGCCGTTCTCATGTCTTCGGCCCCGTGCGCTGCGAAAGGGCCCTCTCCCAACAACAGGAGCTGAGGTGGGCATTGGACTTGGGTTCCTGCTCTGAGGTCGAGCAGTCCCAGAGTCCATGCTGGGGTAAGGCCTGCGCGACACGGGTCATCCCTGTGAGCACAAATTTCCAGCAGGACAAGCAGGGTCCCCCCGCCCAGAGATGCTGGTAGAAGGAGCTGGGTAAGCTGAGCAGCAGGGTGAGGGCTGGTCCTGGGTTCCCTTTCTGCTCCTGCTTTTCCTGTTTGTGAACAGGCTCAAGAGGCCTTCCATCTGAATTCCCTGCTAACCCCCGCCCCTTGCTTGGAATCTGTTCCCTTAAAATTGAGTGTGTGACAAGACACGTCCCAGGGCTCTTCCAACCCTCCCAAGGCACATTTCCATCCAGGCCTGGCACCTGCAGCTGCTGCTGACGTTTGCCTACTCTCCTGATGGGCACTTGCCATGCTGAGCCTTGGCATCATAGGGACAGTACCTTGCATTTTCAGAACCTTCTGAGCATTGTGGGATGGGAGCGTTTGATGGGGCCTCTGGGTGGCCAGGGTAACGTGGGTCTTGGGCACAGGTGGAAAATCACTCAAGCACTGAGGCAGACTTTCCCCTAGGCGCCGGGCCCTGGGGAGAGCCACTTATCACGATGATGAAATTTTTGAGGAGTTGGTACATCCTAACAAGAAGCAAAAACTAGCAACACCAATGCAGGGGTTTGTGAATGAGAGGAACCAGCGGGGGCTCAGGAACTCAACTGCTCTGGGTCCCTCCCTGGAGGCCCACACCTCTCCCATGTGCTGCTGCTCGGGGAAGCCCCACCAGTGCCCATGGGCAGTGGGTTTGTCTCTGGCTGTTGGTGGCTTTTCGTGGGGTCCTGGGACACCATCTTGTGTGACAGTCGCTGGATTTGCTTTGGATTTCACGAGGTTTCCTTCATGTTTACTGCACAGGCATGGCAACCAAGTCTCCCGCAGGCTCTGGGTTCGGGGGCTCTAGGAGAGGGCATTGCACAAGCCACATCCACCTCTGGGCTGGCACGCAGGTGGGATCCAGGACCCTGCGAAGGAAGTGGAGAATGGCCCCATCATGGAATCGGTCTAGGCTACTACAGCCATGGGTTCCAGGGATCTGCACTACTAAGAAAGGGGTCCTAGGCCTCCAGCGAGGGACTCCCCACAGGCTGCACACTGGTGGGCTTGCAAGGTCGTTTACTGAGTGAATCAACCAACCAAGTCCTGCAGCTTTTGAATAGTACAGCAAGAAGCCATGAACCTTTTCAAAGTTAACTCAGCCTTAATGCTCTATGCACAAGCACAGGGCAAAGGGGACAGGCACACGACTGACACAGAACAGTCCATGAAACAGGTGGCAAAGCTACACCGGCAGCTCGGACAGTCCTTGCTGGTACAATTGGCAGCTCCCCGGCTGTATGTGTTGAGATTTTTACTCAATGAGTTACTGCTCACGTATCCCCTAGGGGCTCTCTAAGACTACAGAGGTCAGGGGTAAAGTGCTTGCTGAATGAGTCCACGTGAGCACAAGGGCAGGAAAAAAGGAGAGTGTGAGAGCAGGTGGATCTGCACCCTGCCTCCCCAGGGCTGCCGGAGGGAGCTCCAAGGAATCCCGGACTGCCTGCTGCAACACTCCGCCACTGTTGCTGGCGGGGTGCTCTCCTGGGGCGTCACCATTTCATCACCCTTCCCCTCCTAACCTACTTGTTCACCTGGGCTCCCTGTGTGACCTGGGCTGACAGCACACCTGGAGAGCAGGCCTGCTAGCTCCTCCCCTCCCACTGCTCACCTGCCTCTAGGGCAGGGTCTTTTCTCCTGAAATGTTTTTGGTCGTGGGGGTAGGTCACTGGGCTCATGGATAGCATCTGTCTTTGCATGCTCTGCCCTTGTCTCACTGCTTCTCCAAAGAGCTTCTAGAATCAGTGCTTGCCAATAAGCCTGGACTTGTGAACAAGACCTTGCCGAGTGTGATTGGGGAACATGGCATGTTTCAATGCCAAGGGCTCTACACAGTGGGCGGGGGTGGGGGAGGACATGGTTTTCCCAGCAAGGCCACACCTGCTGTGCTGTCCTGTCCTTTGGGTACCAGACTGTGGGTCCTAAGTCCTTTGCTCTCTGAGCTTTGGCAGCTTTTTCTACTTGTCTTCTTCAAGCTGTTCCATTCAGTAGGTCCCTCCACTTGCGTGCCCTCCCCGCACGCAGGCCAAGGAGGCCGCCATTACGGCAGTCCAAGGCCGCTGGCAGTGGTAGCCCAGAAGAAGGGGTGGCCCTGGCACCCACTGGCTTCCTGCAGCCCACACACAAAAGGGTGGCTGACAGACATTTCCTGGGACTGGTGGATGCTAGTCTCAGATTCTGCATGAGTCCCCTGCAGGTGGAAGAAAGGAAGGTGAGGCTGGCTCCCAGGGCAGCACAGGGGCCAGAGTGAGGGCAGGGCCACTGGAAGCAGGCGGGAGGCAGCCTGGGTGAGGGAGTCCCAGGGAGGCGGAGGGCACAGCAGGGAACAGAATCAGAGACAGACCTGATGGTCAAGTCACCGCCTTCCGGCTCCCCAAGTGGAGCGGGGCTGCGCCAGGCCGAGCTGCGCTGGGTGCTGGCAAGTCAAGCTTACCTTTCTCAGGTACTGCGATGGGAAGGTCATGCGTTTCAATCTGGAGGGAGAGAACAGGACATCCAGTGACTATAAGCGTCCCTCTGGCACTGGCCATGTCATTTACATGCAGCTACAAACTTATGAATTTCTGAGATTCTAAACAGCTGAAAAGTCACTTGCAAATTCCACAAGCTAAGGTCACATCCACACATGTGAAATGAAAGGCATCAAAACTCCCAGGACGCACAAGGTGGAGCTTGCTGGGAGCCCTGCAGCCCTGGGGTAGCCAGGCCCTCTTCCCAGTGCCCAGGCTTTCCTGTCTGATCTGGTACAAACTAGAGTCCAAGATACAAAACAGTGTGCAACACAACCAGTGGACTTGCCATGAGAGATCTGAGAGCTCTCCGAGGTGCTGGAGGTGGGAAGGATTACCTGAGCCCAAGTCCCATTTTTTAAAAAAGATTTATTTATTTTTATTGGAAAGACATATATACAGACAGAAGGAGAGACAGAGAGAAAGATCATTCATTCATCAATCCACTCCCCAAGTGGCCACAACAGCTGGAGCTGCGCCAATCTGAAGCCAGGAGCCCAGATCCTCTTCCGGGTCTCCCATGTAGGTGCAGAGTCTACCTCTGCCCCACCAGAGGATGGTGTGCTCCAGGCATGAGGGCCTCTGGGCAGGTGCTGTCTGCTGACTTTAGATTTGGATGGGTTCTGGAACCGTGGATGATGGGACCACCTAGATTTCCATTTGTTCAAATGCATTGTGTGGTTGGAGGGGTCCCCCACTTTCTCCCATGGGAAAGATGGCAAACGAAGGGTGCCTTATCTATGGGTCACCCTTGGGTTGGGGAGGCCCAGCTTCTCAGGGCACTATGCTTCTACATCTCTCCAACGTGAGCTAAGAGGTCTTCATGGCGGGGGCTCCTTGATCTCCTCCCCTCAGCCCTGGTTCTGCTGCACAGACTGGCACCTGATTGGTAGAAAGCATGAAAGCAGATGGCGTAGGCTGACAATGGAGGACTTGTTTGTAATTGCTGATGAGAACGGTTTCCTCCTGTCCCGGGTGTCCCCAGATGCAGCCTGGCGTGCTGTGGGCTGGCCCACAAAGAATATCTCCATAACTGCCAATCCACGGCGGAGTTAAGGAGATGCAAAGGCAGAGCCAGTTGGGGGCTGCCTTGATTATTCCAACGGGGCTCAAGTGTCACTTGTCCTTGACACGCACATGGTGCTCCCAAAGGCACAAGTCCCAATGGCTGGAGCAGAGCAGTGGGCTGTCAACTTCCTGATGCACCCCTCCTCCCCACCGACCTGGCGGTGGGACGGGATGAAGGGCAGTTAGGCATGAGGCATCAAGCGACCTGGGCACTGCTGGACAGCACCAGAGGAGGGATGCGAAAGGGGAAGGGCCTAGGAGGCCGTGTGATGCCTGAGGGGATCTGCGAGAGACACAAGGCATAATTACTTCCTTCTTTCATCAACCATGCCCCCGGATGTGTGCCTGGTACTGTCCTAGGCTCCTGTTGACAACACGGAACAAAGCAGGCAGTCTCTTGCCTCTGAGGCTTATTGGCAGAGGTAAGCAGACGGCAGCATGTAGCCCAAGGGGGGAGATGTCCTCCTCTTTATGTGCGTAAAGCACAGATGTGATTTCTGTCCATAAAGATACAAGATATTTTGCCTCTGTGTGTGTATGTGTGTGTGAGAAGAGGGGAAAAACTCAAGAATAACCATGGCTCCAAAGGCTTCGTGCTGGGGTGATGTTGGCAATGACCTTGAGGTACATGGGGTTCCAGGGTCAGTGTGCATGTGCAGGTGTAATGGCATTCTTGCATATGTGTGGGGCAGGGAGGCCACGGGTCAGCCTCACACACAATCAAGGGCAGGCGAGCGAGGCTCCTGGGAACAGCCCTTGACATTTGGCCCAGGACAGCAAGGGGCCCGCCTGCAGCCACTTGGGGACAGGTTAGGCACGGAGTACCAGAAGTCATTTTTCACAAAAGGAAGATGTCTTCCCTTCTTGGCTTTCCAGGACTTCTTTGGAAAGACCCAGGAGCCCACTTGGAGGTTGCGCATGCTCTCCCAGCTCCACCTCACCGAGGCTTTCCCAGGATGGGGGCTCTTCGGGAGGCCTGCTTTCTCTGGTTTTTCCTCACTGGGAGGGCAAAGGGGAAGAGTTTGAAGCAAGCTTCTTATCCTGGAGGAAAAGGCTGTCCTGCTGGATGGCCTATGGGATCACGGTGGGCAGTGTTAGGCAAGCAAAGTGGCTACCTCTCCCTGGATCCTTATTACTGAGCAGTCAGCATGGAAAATGATGAACTGCTTCAAAATAACGAGAGGGAAGGCTTGCGAGAGCTGGCATGGACGACGGAGAGGAACAGCGGGCTAGGGTTCCACCTTTCAGCGAGTGCTGAATATCCTACCAGCAGGAAGGCAGGCCGAGTGGGAGATCAGAGGCTGTTGGGGGCTCTTCAGACCCCTTGGAATGGCTCTGCAGAAGGGAACAGGTGCAGCAGTAGATGGCATGAGCGTACACACTACAACCCAAGACCAGTGGGAATTGGCCAGTCTCATTAACATCTCCAAATGGCTTAAGGATGGCTTCCAGGATTTCCCATCCAGCAGCAGAGGCTGTGTCCTGGCCCCAGCCCTGGCTCTGGGCTTCGCTTCCCTCTGATCGTTGGACTTGCCCATCAACTTGGGTTCTGAAGCAGAAAGCTGGGACAGCTGCACCAGCAGGGAGGGAGGGAAGAGCGTGCAGATTATGTGTGTCTGTGTGCGCACGCCTGCGTCTGCGGGCAGGGGTCTAGAGAGCAGGTGGATCGCACATGGAAAAACCTTCTCTGGCATTTTCTCCCCCATCTTTCCCGTCCACAGGTGCAATGGGCTGTTATGGACCTAGCACGAAATCACACTGGATTTTCAAGTTCACTTGCTCACCAGGCTGTCACGGAGAAAGGTTTCCGGGCTGTTATTCTCCCTGTTTCACAAATAAGTCCAAGGTGTCAGTGGCAGCTCAGCCACAGCAAAGTGGGTTCCCCTCACCAGACTGACTTTCAAATCCCTGTGAACAGCCAGATAACATGTGGATATTTACGACAGTGCTAGTCCTGAAGGCCATGAGGTGGGAAGTGGCCTAGACATCCACCAGCAGAGGGCTGGATGAACCGAATCTGGTCTATTGTCACAATGATATGCTACTTGGCACTAAAAAGAAAAGAATCTGAAACTCATGCTGCTACATGGATGGACCTAATGAACAAGCTAAGTGTGCCCTAGAGCAGTAACTGAATGAATCCACGGACACGAAATGTCTGGGACAGGCCAGTCCACAGAGCCAGAAAGTGGATGAGTGGTCGTTTGGGCAAAGTGGGGAGGGCAGGGTGGAGGGCAAGGAGGACTGACTCCCAGTGTCTGCTTTAGAGCAGGTTGGGAACTGTAGCTACTGTTACTGCAGCATCAGGAAGCTGAAGTTGGGAGCCAGAGCTGACTTGACTTGGGGACTTGGAAGTGGGATGCGGAGTCTCGACCTCCAGGCTAAATAAACGCCCAGAGTGTTCGTGGACCACACTACAAACACACACTGTGATCTAAGCACCCTGGGCTGTCCTGTAGCACTCTGCCTTGACCCACTGCTTTTCTTCAGAACTGTCTTTTCCAGCTGGCTGTTGGACCTGGTGGTTAGGATGCCTGTCCACCGGGTTGGAATGTCTGGGTTCAGCATCTGGCTCAGGTTTCCTGCTCCCAGCTCCAGCCCCGGGCCTTTGTAGGTATCCGACAAGTGAGTGAACCAAGAGAGAGGAGTGCTCAGTCTGTCTGCCTGACTTTTTAAAAAGTTCTGACTTTCTGGGCGAGGCTGACTTGAGCTTATTTGTCTGCAAACAACTCAGGTCTGAGCTGGGATGGCTCAGTGCTGAGCTGGTCCAGCACACCAGCCACAGGACAATGTAGCAGTTGAGGGTATGGGGACCCTGGGAGGGACACGGGAGTTCTGGGTGCTGGTGTCATGGAACTTGCAGTTCTGACAGCAGAACACCTGCTGTCTCAAGACTTGTACCCACTGAACTAAGACAGGCCCTGCATGAGCTAACTTGAATCTCTTGGCTGCCTGGGTGTGCACTGGTTCCAGCCCACGTGGTCTGGGCGTTAGTTCTATGAAACAGTCCTGTCTGCCTCCCTCCTCCTGGCTGTCTGCTCCTGAGGGTGGAATCCCACGGCAGGTGCCAAGGGCAGGACTCTGCAGAGCAGTGGGGGGGCGGAAGAGTGTCCCACTGGGAGCACGGAGACCTAGCTAGTGCTGCACCCTGATGTTGAAGACAAAACCCCACTGCTGGTCAGATGCTCCATGGAGAGCGGGACCAATCAGGTTATCAGGAGAGCGGCTGGTGGGTAAAGCATGAAGTGTATGTTCTCCTCCTCAGGCCTGGTGTGATGGCTCAGCAGCTAAATCTTCACCCCAAATGGGTCCTGGTTCATGTCTCAGCTGCTCCACTTCCCGCCCAGCTCCCTGCTTGTGGCCTGCAAAAGCAGTAGAGGATGGCCCAAAGCCTTGGGACCCTGTGTCCACACGGGAAACCTGGAAGAAACTCCTGACTACTGACTTCGGGTTGGCTCAGCTCCAGCCACTGTGGCCATTTGGCGGAGTGAGCTGGTAGATGGAAAATCAGTTTGTCTCTGCCTCTCCTCTCTATAAATTGGATTCGCCTATACAATAAAAAATAAATCCTAAAAAGAGATGGCTCTGGCACATGGCCAGTCCCGGGTGACCAGGACAGAGGGCAGAAGCATCGGAGGGGCCTGTGAAGTCCCACTTGGGGGCCCGGCGCGGTGGCGCAGTGGTTAAGGTCCTCGCCTTGCACGCCCGGGATCCCATATGGGCGCCGGTTCTAATCCTGGCTGCCCTGCTTCCCTTCCAGCTCCCTGCTTGTGGCCTGGGAAAGCAGTCAAGGACGGCCCAAAGCTTTGGGAACCTGCACCCGCGTGGGAGACCCGGAAGAGGCTCCTGGCTTCTGGCTTTGGACCGGCATAGCATCGGCCGTTGCGCTCACTTGG